AGGGCGGAACTGTTGTCCTGCTATCCAGGCCGGACGAAGGGGAACCTGAGAAGAAATCACGTCCCGCAGGTCTGAGAGCATACTTGGTGCTGGCCGATGCGCCTTGGAACCGGAGGCAGGCATGGAGGGGTGGGAAACCTCCGCGAGACAGGGCAGGGCGAGTAATTCCGAAAAGAAGGACGATGCAGTGCTCGCCCAGTGTGGCGGCACATGCTGCGACAAGGTCGGCAAGGAGTTGTTGCAGCGCACGACATGTCGGTGGGTATGATTGTAGGCCGACTCCTTGGTAGCGGAGCCTCTCTGTTTGAAGCACGACCTGAGCGCCTGTGAAAGGGATGGACAGGATGCGGTGCGAGCAACAGGCTGCACACGCTGCGACAGGGGAGGCGTCGAGAGTTTGGCACTCTGGCAAAATTCCACCTCCTGAACCGGAAGAAGAAAATGCACCTGTCGTTTGGTAGATGCATCTCTTGTGTGCAAGGGCCATGGCTGCGAGCAGGGAAAGCAGCAGTCACTTGACCTATTGACTGTACACGGTCTGTACATGTCTCTGCAAGACCAGGAAAGGCTACCCACATCACCACCTGATGCTGCAGATAGTCCTGGAAACGAACGGTCCCCAGAAACAGCTCTTGCCCCTTCAGCTGCATCGACAGTCAAAGGGCCATGCTGACTGTCGGAAAGCCGGAATGCAAGAACTGCTCCCGTCTCACCGTCGTCTCCGAGGTCACAACCACTCAGAAAAGAGCTGCCTCGGTGACGTCGAACATCAACGTCTGCAAACGGATTGATCGGTACAAGGTGGTCTTGTAGCACAACCTCTGCTTGAAGACAGGCTGCAAGCACTGGGGCAAAGAACTCAACCACACAGTCCTCCGCATCCAAAATTGTCGAGCTGCAAGCTCTGGGATAGAACGGCCCAGCAGCCTCAACGAGGCAAGCTACTGGGCCTTGCCAGGGGGCGCCGGCTCCTGCTTGGTTGCCGGCTTCTCCGTGGAAGGTGGTGTAGGCACAGCTGACTGTGGCAAGACACCTTGCAACGCAGCCGACGAAGCTCCACTCTTTCGCCTGGGCGTCCTTTCGCGATACTCGTCGGCTTGAACTTGTGCTGCTGCAGCCGTAGAAGCCAGAGCCGCCATCAAGTCCCAATCCTTGGTAGCCGCTGCTTCCAATGCCGTCTGTCTGGCGGCATCTGTAGCAGCTGTGTGAGAGACTTCTGCCTCCTGCACTTCCATCTGACTTTCGTCGCCCGAGTTGACCTCGATGGCCCCACCCGAGGCCTGCTGAATCGCCTTGGTCGAGCTGAGTAGCTGTGCCTCCCATTTCTCCTCCGACTCCGCGTAGGCCGCCATGGTCTGATTCTTCTTTTCCACCTGCTTGGCCAACAACTCCGTGAGGCCATGCAAGTAGAGGTGCCATTCTTGCATGAACTGGGCTCTGGCTTTTCTCACACCCGAGAGCTCCATCTTCGCCTGGCCCTGTTGATGGACCAGACGATGCATTGCTTTGGCTTCCGTCTTGTGATTGGCTGCCATGTGGGACTCCAACATCGCCTGCACGTTCAGCGGCAAATCCTCCTTGTGGCTGGATAGTGCCTGCATGAGCTCGCTGAGGGCATGCTGAGGCTTGTCTGTCGCCTCCAAAGCCGCCGGAGCCGTGGCAGGAGCCGAGGGCAACCCAGGCATTGCCACCGTCGGCGCTTGTGGAACGAGCTGGAGTAGTTGCTGAGCAGTGGTGAGAGATCCACTGCCAGATCCACCATCCTTGCCTGCAGCTGGTGCAGCCTGCTCCGTCTTGCCCTTCGGCGTTCCCTTTTGGGGCCGTCTTCGTCTCGGAGAAGCTGGTGCCTTCGCCCACGGGGTTCCCTTGCCTCTGGGTGAGCGAGGTCGCTGCCATGCTTGGGTCCTCCAAGGCCATGGCTCGGAGGGTCCGGTCTGCGGGGCATAGTGGCCCTGATCCCACTTCGTCCCGCACTGTGGGCAGAACACTGCCGAAGCCTTGCATGTCTGTCCGCATACGCATTGCCATGGCTTGGCCATCTCTTCGGATAGCCTGATCGTAGCCTTCTTGACAAGCTCGCTTCTTGAATGGTGTCCCTTCAAGGCCTGTATCGCCTTGAAAACTTGTAGCTGTGTCGCTGGGCCTCCACTTAGCCAGGACCTGAGCAGAGTACGACCGCGAGTCCGCTGCCGCCTCAGCCGACGATGCCAGCCAGGTTCCGGCACCACCCTGGTTCTGAATCCAGAGTGGGCGCGCGCCACAGTCGGAGAAGAGGCCGAACAGGTAGAGCACGATGAAGTGTGGCAGCTGCAAGCCCATAAACAAAACCTTGGACAAAGTCCAACTCCAGCCGCAAAGCGGGGAGTAATCCGAATGCCTCGCCGGGCGTACAGCAGACGGATTCCAGTGACCACCAGTCCTGTGAAGGTCCCAAGGTGTCACTGCTTCGCGGGCGCTACTTGTAGCTCGCGCCGCGCTTAGGGTAATCGCCACGAGGAGAGGGGACCACAGGGGAAACTACCCTCAACCTCGAGAGAAAACGCCTGGATTTAGGCCTTAGGGTTTAGGGTTTAGGATAGGGTTTAGGGTTGTGAGACCAGCCACCGCGACAAAAAGATCAGAACTGTACTACGAGTAAGGAAGATTAGAATCGAATCGAAAACGACAACAAGGAGGAAAAGAATGATGCGAATACTACAAATATAAATTACACGAAATGCCATAGTGACATAGTGACGGTAGCAACACCAAGCATAGGCCCTAAACCCCTCAACCCTTCATCTGCAAGCCCTAACCCTTGAACCCAGCGCCCCCCTTTGCTCCCCTTGCACTTGCAAGCAGTTGCACGCCCAGCGCGGACATGCTAAGGGACGCCGTTGGCTTAAGGCCGGCAAAGAGTTTGGGAGTACTCCTAATTAGGATTTAAGGTGCTAGGAGTTCGATTGAACGACGATGCGGCACGGATGACCCTGGCACCCCCTTCTCTGTGCAGCCGGCGGGTGCCGTCAGCTTTGGGCAGTCACCCCTGTTCTCCCGTGGGTTCTGATCGGGTTCGGGCTACAAGTTCGAGGTAGTCGGGTACTGCGACAAGACAAAGACTGTCTAGAATCTGCGTAATCACAACAAGAAGAAGAAGAGGAAGAAGCAGCAGCAGGACGAATAACAAGAGAGCAGCCATAAGGACGCAACTGGGACGGCTTGAAACAGAACAGCGTCAGCTAGAAACTGAGGCTTGCCTAGTTCAATAGTAGCTTGCCACAAGAGTAATGCCCCTAGACCTTGAACGCCTAAACCCTCAACCCAAACCCCTAAACCCCAAAATAATGACTATAATCTAGGTCAGGAATACAGCGCAAGCACCTGAACAAGACACGAAAGGCTTTGATGTCGGACTTCGATGCCCTGAACCCTAAACCCTAAACCCTGATCCCTAGACCCTACGCCCTGAACTCTGAACCCTGAACCCTGATCCCTAGACCCTAAGCCCTGAACCCTAAACCCTGAACTCTACACCCTAATCCCTAGACCCCAAGCCTGAACCCTAAACCCTAAACCCTGATCCCTAGACCCTAAGCCCTGAACCCGAAACCCTAAACTTCCCTAAACCCTAAACCCCGAAACCCTAAACCCTGTAAGCCCTGAACCCGAAACCCTTTAAAACCCTGGGTCTCCGATTTAGGGTCGCGACGGGACGCGCGAGGGACTCCCCCAGCTCCAAGAAGTCTCTGTTCAAGAAAACTACAGGTGGGGAGTTTAGGGTAACATAAGGCTTCCATAAGGCTCCTATAACGGTCACTACCCACCTGAAAACACGCATCCCTCGACCTCTGCCGACTGCCTAGGTGCCTGGGTCTGGGGTCGAGGGGCTTAGGGTTTAGGGTGTCGGTTAAGTTCAGGTCGAGGGTTTAGGGTGTCGGTTAGGTTCAGGTTTAGGGTTTAGGGTGTCGGTTAAGTTCAGGTCTAGGGTTTGGGGTTCAGGGTTTAGGGTTTAAGTGCCAGCGGTTGCGCTGTAGGGGTTTGGGAAGTTAGGGGTTCGGGGGTTTTCGGGTGCTCAGTAGGATTAAACGCCGAGCCCTGAACCCCAAACCCGAAACCCTGACCCCCTCAAACCCTAAACCCTAAACCCTAACCCCAAAAAAACCTAAAGAGGTTACAAGAAATTGGCAGGTCCATGGGCTGCACGCCGTGATCCTTGGACGATCTCATCTGGTGGGGCAGCCTTTGGCGCTTTTGCTGGGCGCCAGGGGTGCAACGGTGACTCTTCTACACAGCCAGAGCCAGGACTGTCTGGTGCTTTCTAGGGAATGGGGGAATGGGTTATAGGGACTACTATAAGGGACCTTAGGGGACTATCATAGGGATNNAGACTGCCGAAACCGAAGCTGGCAGCTACCATGCCTGAGCCATTCTCAACTGTCATAGACTACATCTACTTCTTTACTGCATCTGCGAGCAACCGCTCGTAGCGATAGTGATACTACGACAACCAAAGACACATCTTAGCATATAGGTGATACAACGAAAATACAAATACGACGACGCCGATACGACGACGACCAAAACGACAATGACGACGACCACGTCGATCACTACCACCACCACCACCACCAC